GCGATGTGCAGTGCCCGCGCAGCGTGCAATGCCCATTGCAACGCGCGGTGCCCGTGCATCGTGCAGTGCCCGTTGCATTGTGCAGTGCCCGTGCAGCGTGCAGCGAGCAGGCAGCGTGCGGTGCTTCTGCAGCCGCGCGGCGCTGGTGCAGCCGTGGCGGGTGGTGGCCAGCCGTGCGGCGTGGGGCTGGCCGGGTCCCGGCCGGGACGGCAGGGCTTGCCGGCTCCCGTGGGTGTTTGCAGGGAGATTCCTTGGGAACGGGGCAACGTGCAGCGGGTGGATGTGCCGCTGCCCCTTACCAATTTTGTCCCTGGTGCTTGAGCAAAGGGCAAGGGGATGGGGTGTAAATCAGGAGGCAGAGGACATTTTCCTTCCTTCCACGCTCCATGCATGCGTGTGTGTGTGTGTGTGACAGAAGAAATCCGAGAGCCAGCCCTGCCCAGCTCCCCCTGTTCTTCCGAAAAGATGTCATATTTTTTGGCCGTTTCCCATCTACGAGTTCCTGCGGCGGAGCGGAGAGCAGGAGGTGGAATATGCTGTGCAGCCGCTCAGGGAAGGCTTCGCTCGCCGATGGTCCGTGAATAAGCAGCACGGGAAGCTGCGCAGTGATGCTCGCTGGGGCCGTGGTGCCCGGCTGCCCGAGAGGTAACGGCAGCCACTAATTCGCCTCCCCCAGCTTGGCTTTTACCTGCTAAGATCTGCAAATGTGCATGGCCCCGGGAGGTCGGCAGCGCCTGGCTCTTCCTAAAAGCCCCCAGTGGGGAGGGTCTGCCTGGCTCTCACCGCGGCTGGCTCCTGGCTCCGGTGCTTGTCCGGAGGTTTGCGGGTGAGCCGAGCTGGGCCTGGGGGGCTCGTTCTCACCTGTGTCATGCCTCTGCTGTGGACGGAGGCCCTCGGCCACCCGTGCTGGCTCTGTGTCACCTTCAGCAGTGCCACATGCAGGCAGTGAGTGAAGGAAAGGTGTGATGAGAAGGCGCTGCGCCCCCGGCTGCCCTCCTGTCAGCCGACACGGCGGGTGCGTTTGTGGGGCTCTCCAGGGTGGGGTGCCCTGGCCGAGGCCCTGTACAGCACAACATGGGAGCATGTGCTTGTCTTTAAGCACATGAGCAATTCCAGCTGCAGTCACATGCTTAAGGTTAAACCACTTGCTTGAGTGTTTTGCTGGATGGGAGCCAGCGTGCTTTCCCCCGACTCCATTACTGGAGAAGAACGGAGGCCAGGTATGGATCTGGAGCATCCAGCTTGGGGTGTTTGGGGCGTTTTGGGCAGGGTTTGGGCACCTGGCAAGAGTCGTTTCCTAGAAGCATTGCCTCAGTCCAGAAAACTTGGTCTGGATCCACCTGGATCCTCCTCAATCCTCCTCGAGTGGCAATGGCAGACTGTTGGCAGTGGTGTTGGTTTTGGGTACAGTTAGATAAATTGTTGACCCACTGATGGTGAGTTAGGCCCCTCGTAAAATAAATCTGCCGCCACGCACGCAGAGAGCTCACCATCCTTGTTGTACAGAAGGGGATTGGACGCTGCTGGGAAGCAGGAACAGAATGTGGAATGTAGAGAGAAAATAAAAATTCCAGCTAAGAAAATAATCATTCATATATTCACTGGCTGGTTTATTCAATGGCAAAGTAAGTCACTCGTTTCATGGTTCCGCGTTCACAGGGAATCTGTGAAAACCGAGCGCTTACAAGTGCAGAAACGCATCAACTTGACTCCAAACAAGTGCAGGGGGGCACTGATGTGGGCGAATGTGGGATGCGCACTGTGCTGTCCCAAGCGTAAATGTTTGCAATATTTGGAGTTGGCTCCAAAGCCCACTGAGCTCAAAGGGAGTTTTTTTTGCTGTTTTCAGCAGGCTGGGGATCAGGCTGTGGAAGCTCATGTTAAAAGCCCTTTGGACCACTTTTCCCAGGTCTCACATATGCTGGCAGATCTGTCGGGGACCCTTCTCCCTCGCCGCTGCAGCCTGGGGGTTCAGAGCCCCAGCTAGCCTTCGCACGGCTGTTGCAGTGCGGTTACCTGTATCTTAAACTAGTTCAGCATTTACGGCTCCTTTCCAGTGTGAGCAGGGACTTTAGGCAGGTGAGAGGTGTGAGTGGAGGTTTCCTGCCCACCTGCCTGCATGGCCATCGCTATTTCTTGCAGGTTTTGTAAAGCAACGTGTGCCCGGGCTCCTTCTGGGCGGTTGCTTTGCTGCTCTTGCCAGCCGGGACCCACGTCAAGATGGAGAGCTTGGATGGAGGAGGCAGCCAAAAGGGTTTGCCTGCGAGGTCTCTGCTGCCTTCCTGTTTTGCCCTGACACTCGTAATTGCTGCCCCGGGAGAGCGCGGCAACGCCGTGGCACATGGCGGCGTCTGCTCCTTATCGCACCATGCTGGCGGCCGGGCAGGCGGCGTGGACCAACACCCCGCCATCACATCCCCTGATTCACAAAGCAAACAGAAACCTTCCCGGGCTTTCCTGCCTGCTGTCATGGGGGGGACGAGCTGCCTGTGCCTGCACGTAACAGCTGCGGATGGTTATTTATTCAGAAAGCCCTTGACTTTCTGAATAAAGATGAGGATGACTGAGTTTAGGTATTGGGGTGAGTTTTCTTCATGTGTTTTTCCTCCCTGTGCTTTGTTGTTGCATCTTTTTAAACGTGTTTAACCCGTGCAGTTGGATCAAACCTCGGAGATGTAACCCTTGCTGCGTGTATGACATTACGTTCCTTTGGTGAGAAAAGGAGGGAGCTGCCTGAGATGTGCTGGTTTGGGTGGGAGTACGGGCGATGGAGAACGGCCATGAGGCCTTGGGGCCAGCCTCAGGCGCCTGATGCGAGCGACTCGGTGCCGATCTGGCCGATGGCCATTGCTGGGGTTTCACGACGAGCTACCGCCAAAGGAGGGTCCAGCTCCTTTGTGACTCCGGTAGTTGCTTCGGGGCTGTGGGTTCAGACCTTGTGCTGGCAAACATGTAAGGGACTGGCAGGTGAATGGTGACTTCAGTGTAGAAATCCCCAAATGTAAGTGATGGCAAAAGGGGATTCCTGATTCTACCTCACACAGCAACATCTCCCTGACAGATACAGCAATTCTGAGTTTCTGAAGGGAAGAAACCGCTCCTGGCATGAGCTGTAAAATCAAAAGCTGGAAAGAACCATTTAGCAGTTCCTCATTCATCTCTTCCCCCTCTGTCTGATGCAGTTTGTCAGATGAAGATGTGATCGTTCTTGTGGTTTCTTTTTGGGACATTTTTTGCACAGCAAAACAAACTCGATATTCACAAAGGATGCACGCAGAATCATGAGTTCCTTTCTCAGTGACCGCCAGCACCAGCTAGACTTTCATAGAATCATAGAATCATAGAATCATTAAGGTTGGAAAAGACCTCTAAGATCGAGTCCAACCATCGACCCAACACCACCATGCCCACTAAACCATGTCCCTAAGTGCCTCATCTACACGTCTTTTAAATACTTCCAGGGATGGTGACTCAACCACTTCCCTGGGCAGCCTGGTCCAATGTTTAACCACTCTTTTAGTAAAGAAATTTTTCCTCACGTCCAATCTAAACCTCCCCTGGCGCAACTTGAGGCCATTTCCTCTCGTCCCACTTTCAAGTGGCCATGCAGCTTTGCAGGGGCATTGTTCATTTAACGTAGGTTTAGGTTTGACTTTTAAAAGCAGTTCTGGAAAATACTTTCAGTAATCCCTGTGAATTTCAGTAAAAGCAACAGTAAAAGCGCGGTGCCCGGTCCCGCCGGTGCAGCCTGCTCGGAAGGGCTGGGCCGCCCTCGCCTCCCTCCACCCACCCAGCTATTCCCTCTGCCTCTGTGGAGCTCAACAGGAGATCGGGTCCCTGTTTTACTACAGCGTAGAGGAATACTTAAGTATTTTCTTTAAAATGGTTGTTTCTTGCTCCAGGGACCCCCCTGTTGCTGCCTGCAGGACCTGCACAGCTGGACGACCCTGCCTGCAACCGACATGTCAGCAGCTGCCTGACCCTATCTGCTGCCGTTATCTCTTGTTTCTTAACGTTGAATGAATTTGCAGTTCATCACTTGGATCACTGGAGAGAGCTTTCCCTGTGCAGTATTTTATCTCATTAGGCCCAGTATTTTGTCTGGGTTTTCCTTGCAATAGTTTTATGCTTTTAAGAGCAAAACCTTTATTAAGGGACTGGACTAGGGCAGCGAAATCTGATTACTTGGCAGAGGCATGGCAGCAAAGTGGCAGTCCCTGTAGCCTTTGATATGTGGCAGGGAACTTTTATGACCAGAGGTTACTTCGGTTCAGACCCAGCAAAGTCTTTATGTGCCCGGCTTGGCACGGATATGGGTCTTAGTCCATAGTACAGCAGATCATTATCTTTCAGCAAGGCAAATGCGCTTTGCTGAGTTGTGACTTTGGTAAGGGACGTGCTGGGTGGTGGTTTGATGTATTAGGAATAGGTGGCGGTTCTTGGAGGGAGGGAGCATGCCCTTTCCGTCCTGGTCCAGGTTTGTTTTTCCAGAGGGATGGAAAGGGCAGTATTTGTGCTCATGGTAAAAAGTGTGTTTATTTTTATTAGAAAAAACAAGCTCAAGAGCAGAAGAGCCAGGCAGTAAACGAAGAAGAACATAGCTCCAGTGTTGTTGCTGCCCTGCACCCTCAGGATAGAGCATGTCCTCCCTTCTGAGGAGTTTCACACCCAGGGTGAAGCTGCAGGAGTGCTGGTTTGAGGTGCTGTGGGGCGTACGTTTGGGTTTGCAGGGCTACAACACACAGCTCTTGTAAAGGGCTGGAGCTGGAGCCTGGAAAGCTCCCTCACCGGAGCAGACCTTGCCTGCTCCCAGCGTCCTGCAGACGCAGATGGAGGCGGCTGCTTGGCATACCCAGCACCAGGCTGAGAACTCCCCAGGAGACACCCACAAGAAGTACGAGGTGGGAGCCCCAGGGCTGCAAGCTCCGAATAGCTCCCACGGCCTTCAGGGGTTTCGCTGACTCTTGAGTGCTCGTGGCTCTTAGAGAAGAGCTGCAAGGCTGGTCTGGCGCTTAAGGAGCCCAAGGTGATGCTGAGAATCATTAGCGTGATCTTAGCAGCTTTGGACTTTGGCTGGTCTTGGCTGCTTTTCAGTGGGTCACCAGATTTCTGTTCTAATTCTCTCTTTTCGTGGGCTGTAGATTAAAGGCAGAACTTAAATTTAACATTTTTGGTAATGGAATTATACAGAAGTTTCACTGCGTCGGAGCTTAAAATGCTGCTAAAGTATCATTTTCCTGTCATCACTGGTTCAAACGCTGCGGGGTTGCCATGTGCTCAGATTGCATTACTAGATTAGGAACTTTGAATGGGCGCTGTGTTTCAGCCAGCATCTCTTGCCACATTAGAAAAAATAATTCAGTAAAAATCGGTCATGTAGTCATCAATATGCATCCTTCCCAAGCTGATTAGCCTGGTAGACGTGTCCATAAACCTATTACGGCCAGCATCATACCACCTCTTTCTGTGCCAGAAACGGCATCAGGTCTTTCCTTTGTGGTCGTATCCATAGCCCTTGTGGGAGATCTGGCAGTGCTTAAAGTAGTTCTTTAGTCTTCACACCCTCCAATAAATCATGCAGATCTGTGCTGGAAACTTCCCCATGAGTGACAACTGTAAAGATAAACTGGAGAGGGAGACGGGACCCGATTTCCCCAGAGTTTGAGTTTGGTGGGTGTTGAAGGAGGCTGGCCCTCTGCCACGGGTCTAAACTCATCCCTGAGCAGAGTATCTGCACAAGGTACGGATGCGACTCAAGGCAAGGGCTTAACTGGGGCTTATGAAAACACTCAGCACTAGGCAGGATTTGGCCTATGCTGATTTGACCTTAATTGTTTTCCCTTCTCATTTGCTAGTCCACCCTTCGCTTGCTGGGTGGTGGCTTGAGGAGGGGAGGGTGCCGAGCAGGGTGGCATCTGTCTCGCTGACGCTCGCGTTAGAGTGGCGAAGGATCACCCAGACGTTGGTACCGTCTCTCTGTACGTGCCGTTTGTGCCCAACACCATTGATTGTGAGCTACAGCAGAGCAAATTAGCGGTGGATTATTTTTCTTCATGCATTAAATTTCCTTGATGTTGACATTAACGGTTGCTCGCGTGTGTAATCAAAGCAACGTTTTGCAGTCTCCTACAACCCCACACCTTCTGGCAATGTTTTTTATAGGTCCCAAATCAAAGTACAGTGCATCAGCAGTGGAAACATCTCACCTTAAAATGGCTGACAGTTCACACACCGAAGCTTTCAGCTTGTGCTCTCTTGCGTTATTTGCTTTTTGTTTTCCTTGCGATGACTGTGCTCAGGCAGCGAAGTCTCCTGAAGCACATTTTAGGTGCCTGGGCTACAGAAGGCTAAAAGCAACGTGGATGAAAAACGTGTGTGTCCTGAGGTCCAGCCGGCTCAAGCCCTGGGAGGGAACATGGATCTGCAAAGTATAATTACAGAACTGAGCCAGACAGCCTGGCCAGCCACCCTCTTCCAGATGGTAAAAATCTGGTGCAGAGAAGGCAGCCGCAGGTCTCCCAGCTTTATGCACACCTAAAATGGTGTCTCCATCGTGGGGCACACAGGCGTCCCCGGCACCCTGGGTTCCTGCAAGGATCTGGCAGCAGCTGCGGGTCCATCACCCTTGGCATGAGTGCCTGGACACTGCCGAGCAAGGAACCTGCCCTCTCAGGCTCCCTCTTTCCTTTTTTTTGAGAAAAAGAATGAGATTTCATTCGGTCTCCTGCTGCAGGGCTGGCTGCATGTCCGTGCTGCCGGCAGCCCACCCGCCGTGCGCCGTCACCTCCCTGCCCCTCCAGCACAGCCCCTGCCAGGGCATCCACCAGCACGGGGCACTGGGCACTCGGTCACGGTCCCCTGCGCTTAACAGCCATTGCCAGAGAGGGCAAATGAGGCAAGAGGTCTTGCCTAAAATAGGGCGAGTGGGGAAAATGGGAGGTGGGCAGCAAGCAAGGAAAGCGGGTGAGATGTGCATCTGGGTCCAGCACTTTGGATACCAAAGCCAACCTTGGAGCTGCAGGCTCCTGCCCAGACGCAGCCTCCAGCCTTGGGTAAGCAGCATCCCTAGGGTGCTCCCCCAGGTTTTTAGGGTGATACTCAAAACCCCTCTGGTTTCGGCTTTGCACCAGCCATTTTCCAGAGTCCGTCGTGGCCGGCATACCCAGACCCCATCACCGATCGCTGCCGAGACCTGTCCCTTTGTCCTGCGTTACAGAAAGGCTCACTGGCCTGGCAAGGTGTCCCCTCTTACTTGGAAGCAAGCTTTAAACTGGGGGAACTAGGCAGCTGGCTTTCATTAAGAAGTGAGGTCCCTGGCTTCTCACTGGTTTGGTGTAATGTGAGCTCCATCTGCACTTGCACGAGCAGCTGAGCTGTGTCATTTTGGTTCAAAGCGCTTCATGCATCTCCCTGACCGGTGTTGTTCTCCCTCCCAGGGTGTGACTGAGGCACAGAAGCTCCTTTGTGTGGCTGAAGTGCAAGTCTTAATGGAAGGGATGGGAGAAGACAGCTTTCCTCCTTCCCATCCCTCCCCGCAGCTGAATGCAGAGAGGAGCACTAATGGTCTGTGCCGCCGGAGCTGCCGGAGCTGCCGGAGCCGTGTGCCAGGGGCTCCCAGCCGCTCTCTGACACCAGGGAGAGGCAGGGCTGAGCAACCCGCACGCCAGGCTGCTGGCCAGGAGACACCGAGCTGCAAGCAGATTTCTGTGAAAGCTTTGGCAGGGGGGATGCAATTTCATACTGGGGTGGCTGGAGGTAATCCAGTTTTCTTACTGCGTCTTGCACCGGTTCACCCAGCGAGAGCAAAATTTGTTGCTGGTTGTGTTGGGTTGTTCAGCTGGAAAATGGAGCGTCCTGTGAATGCTCAGGCTCCTTTGCAAAGCCTGCGAGATATGGAGGAGCCCCGTTAGAAAGGTGGATGGGCTTGGGATGCGGCGGCTCGCGCAGCAGATGCCCCTGTGCTGTGCGTGCCAGTGACCTTGGCACTTGATCCTGAGTCCTGTCACTGCCATGCCTGGTCACGAGGACTGCGGTTTTGGGACCCGGCCTGACAGGCAGGAGGAGGTGGGAGTTGGAGGAGCGCCTCTGGAAAGCAGGATTCCTGCATCCTTGCTCAGGACCCGTAAACCCTCACTCACAGTGGAAAATCTGACCTTGTGTTTTCGCTTTCAAGTCTCTGATGAACTGGTCGTGGGTTTGAGCAAGTGTGGTTTGTGGATGTGATTGGAAAATGGCACTTGTTTTGCATGAACTTTTTTAAAAGTATGGGTTTTATTTTCCCCCACCTACCCACATTTTCTCAAAAATATTTTTTTCACCTATACTTAGAAAGACAACGCCAAATATATTCTCATTACAATGTTTTACCAGCACCAGGTTTTTTTTTTAAGAAAAACTATAAAATTTCCATCATGGGGGGAGGGGAAAGACTGGTTTTAACTGAAAGGCATGTTTTGACAGGAGTATTTCAGCCAGCGCTGATGTTTCGAGCACATCTATCAAATGCGTGCGCTTGCAGTTCGTTAACTGTTTTGGCATCCCGAGAAGAAGCCACGTGCCCCGTGTTGCCTGCATCGAAATGCTGCGGGCAGCACCCGGCCGAGGGGGTCTGGCAGGGGTGAGCTGTTCAGGTCATCCAGCCACAAGAAGGATGCTTTGCTTTGCAAAACCCTCTGGAGTTTGAAGTTACGCAGTGAAATGTCTGTTCTTTCCATCTCCACCCCAGAAGCGCTGCCTGGGCATCCTCCGTCGACAGCCCCAGGTGTGCAAACCTGCGTGCAGGCAGCCAGACACCCTGTCCTGTAACGTCCTTAATCGTATTTACGGGAGCCCTCCCTCACCCACTGAAACTGGCACAGAGAAGTAGTCCAGGTTGTTAATCCTGGGAGGACTAAGTAAAACACTTATCGGAGAAGCTGAGTATGAATTCGCTGGCCTGCCAGAGAAATAATCCCGTGGAATCAGAGGTTCTCAATTATTCATGCTTTCCAGAATCACATTATTTCTTCCAGGGCCTGTTTTATAAATGCTGCTGCTATTTCTGATGGTAAATAACAATTTTGCATTATTTATGAACAGATTTTTACAACTGCTGATATTACAGCTGCTGCCAAAGCACTGGGAAAATTATTATTACTGTTTGTTGTTGTTTCTTTTTTACAATGCAACCCTCTTGTTCTTTGCATGATGATGATGTGCCCGTCGCGGTGTGACAGCCGAGCGCTCTGGAAGCGCAGCGCCAGCGAGGAAGAGGGTGCAAATACAAGCAGGTGACTCGGGTTGCCGTCAAGCTCCTGGCTGGTGCTCGGAGCTGAGATGAGCCGGGGATGGATGGGAACAGGACCCCGGGTAGTGGTTAAGTTCGGAGAGGAGGAAGGTCTGATGATCTCCCTGTGCCAGCCGTGGAGAGGTCCGCGGGACATACGTATTTTCTATCCCCTGTTAACGCTCCAGGGGAAATCAAAGGTTGCACCTGAATTTTGCAGATGCCCATTTGGAAACCCACATTTCTAGGAGGGCGTCATTCAAGAACGGGCTAATTCCTGGGGCTGAGGAGTGTTTCCAGGGCAGAAACCCCCTCCTGCTGCCAGTCGCATAGACAGGGACGTGTGTTCGCCTCTGCCGGGGTGGAGATACTGATCCCCTTGGCTAAGCAGGCCGTGGAGAGAAGGGGCCAGTGCGGAGCCGGTGAGGTCTAGGGCAGCGATGGGAGGTACACGAGGTGTTTTGGTGGAAGGAGCCCCAAAGAGCTGCTGCCGAGACCCGCAGGTGAATCCCTGGGGGATTTTGCAGGATGTCGCTCGCTCATGGCCGAGCGGCCGTGCAGGGCAGGACAGCCGCCCTCTCCAGCCACCGCCATCAGAAGCG